GCCGCTGTGAGCCAATCATCAGCTGGCAGCTGGAAGTTTGCTGGGGCCCCTTCGGCTGTGGCTCTCAACATCTGTGCCAATAGTTCTTTTTCATCACAGATTTTAATAATTTGAGTTTTTTTACTCTTTCCTTTGGTTAGCTTGGCTAAGAGTATCAATTTTGTTTATTCTTTCAAAGAACCAACTTTGTTTTGTTGATTTTTAAAATTGTTTTTAAAATCTAAATTTCATTAATTTTGGTTCTGATTTTATTTCCTGTCTTCTGATTTTGGTGTTGATTTGCTCTTCTTTTTCTAGGGCCTTGAGCTGTAGTGTAGGATTATTTATTTGGTATCTTTCTGTTCTTTTAATATATGCACTCAATGCTATGAATTTTCTTCTTTGAACTGCCTTCAAAATCTTCTCAGAGATTTTGATATGATATAACATCATATTTTGATATGATACAACTTATCAAAATCATATGACATACATATCATATTTATTCTGATTTACTTCTAAGTATTTTAAAAATTTTGCCCCTGATTTCTCTTCTGTTATTCATTCATCATTCAATAGTATATTATTTACTCACCAGGTAATAGTTTCTTTTTACCTTACCATTGATTTCTACTTTCATTTCATTATGATCTAATAGAATGTGAGGTACTATTCTCTATTATTTTGTATTTGCTAAGAATTTCTTTTTGGCCTAAAATATGGTCTTTTTTAGAAAATATTCCATATGGTGCTAAAAAGAAAGTATATTCAGTTATTGTTAAAATATTCTATATATTTCTGTTAAGTCTAAATTGTTTGATTGTATTTTTTTAGTTCCATAGTTTCTTTAGTTTTTGTTTGGAAGATCTATAAAGTGATGAGAGATGTTAAAGTCACCCAGTATTATTGTGATGTGGTCTTTTGTTTCTTGTTATTGAAAAGGGTTTGTTTGATGTATGAATGTGCTCCATTGTTTAGGGCTTAAGTATTTTTGATTGTCATTTCTTCTTGTTGTGTGATTCCTTTAAGCAGTATAAAATGACCTTCTTTGTCTCTTCTGATTAACTTGAAGTCTACTTTGTCTGATATGAGACTAGTAATCCCTGCTTGTTTACGAGATCCATGTGAATGATATATTTTTTTCCCATATTTTCACTTCAGTCTGTTGATGTTTTTGCCCATGAAGTAAGTCTCTTAGAGACAGCATATTGTTGAGACTTGTTTTTTTAATCCAATCTGCCAGCCTATGGCTTTGGATTGATGAGTGTAGACCATTTACATCCAGCGTTCTTTTTGAGATGATTTTTATTCTCTGTCATTTTGATTTATTTCTAGTTTTTAATTTGAATTAGTTTCTTCTTTGATTCATTCTTCTTCTAGTATAGTTCTTCCCTCTACTACTCTACTATTTTATTTTCATGAAATATTTTATTGAGTATGTTTTATAGTGTAGGCTTTCTAGTTGTGAATTCATTTGTGTGTGTGGT